ATTAATTATTATTATTATTATTATTATTATTATTAATTATTATTATTATTATTATTATTATTATTATTATTATTATTATTATTATTATTATTATTATTATCATTATTTATTATTATTATTAATTATTATTATTTATTTTTATGTTATTATTATAATTATGAGCATTGTTAATTATTATTGGAGCAATATTAGAAGTTTTTTAAAAAGGACGGGTTTTCAAGCTTCTCACTCTATTTTTTTTTCTCTTTAATTATTCCATCCCTTCTTTTTACGTTCTTTTCACTTTATTAAAAAGACGTAAAAGGTAAATAATGGCAAAGCTCGACAACAAATTAATACATGATGAGGTGAAGATATTGCTATTACATTGTTTTATGCAGCATTTATCTCTAAATTCATCGCAAGCCAGCCATATTTGGATTGGATGATGGAAAAGAGAGAAGAATTATTATCAATAAACATATTATTATTCGCTTTGCCTATTTAATATTTTAAGCCCCAATTTTTTAGATTTGATTTTTTTACTTGGCATTGATGTAACATATTTTTAGGAAGGGAAAATGGTAAGGGATATATTGGGTAGAATGATGAATCGTCAACATTTTATCTTATCTTTCGCAATTTTTGTTTTTATTATTTTGAGGTTTTAAAATATTGATTACTCAAGTTTTAAGCCCAAAACCAGAGTAAGAGTGAAGGTAAAACTTCGGACCAAGACTATGTCCTTCTGTCTGTCTGCTTTAGCAAATTCATTTCTTCTTTTTCCTCTTTGACATGGAATTTTTTTTGCTTTTTTTTTTTGTTTCCTCATTGAATTTAATTTTTTTTGTTTGATTTTCAATTTCCCGTCTTTTTTTTTACTGAAATTTAAAAAGAAAAATGTTTTCAAGGTGTTGGAACAGCTCTTTGCGGGAAAGAAACAGCAATGGCATGTACTACAGCTGTAGAAGAGTTAATTGGTGAACATTATAATCAGCAGCTGATGGAATTACTTGATGATGATCCCATAGATCATGCTGATCTTCTGAAAGTCAATTGTTTCTCATAAATCTATATTATCATACCTGCGGTACTGCTATTGTAGTTCAAATGATTTGAATTGCATAGATATGGATTCAGATGATGTACTTTTTGAAAAGCTAATAGATACACATCTCAGAAATCACTTTACCTTTTTCATACCATTAAACTGATCAAAAGTCAGTTTTGCATGAATCTTTTTTTTACTACTAACCGATTACAAAATAAAAAGAAAATTTAAACTTCACTGGAGTAAGGAATGGAGAAAAGAAAATTTTAGAGTTTAAAATTTCGAGAAATTCTTTAATTTCCAATTAATGTTGTAGATTTTGACAAAACTACGTGATGATGAATTACATCACTACGATATTGGGGTTGAAAATGATGGACTAAAGGTATAAATATTTTTTTAAATTTTTTACATTTTTTTTTTACATTTTTTAAATATTTCTCAAATATTTTTTAGATATTTGTTAAAATTTGTCTAGATTTTATGCTTTGGAAAGAATTTCATTAAAAAAAAAATTATTTCAAGACAATAGCAGTTGTAGTAGTAATAATAGTAACAAATCACTTTTTTTTTCAAATTTTCTGCTGTAGAATTTTCCTGTCTCAAAATGCGAACATGAAATTTACGAATGGATAATAATGATAATTTATGTTTTGAGAACATTTTTACAAATATTTCTTTTTTTAAAAAAAAAGATGAAAGCATTGGAACTATGGTTGCAGGCACCACAATATGAGGCGTTGAAATGGATCATTCAAACTGGTTGCAAAGGAGCTATTTGGTTAGCTGAACGAATGTAAATAATAAAAGTAATTATTATGATGCAGGAATTTCGTGTATTATTTCATGAACAATTATCATCACTATATTTCATCTACGATTTTAATTAAATGATGGATTAATT